TCCTGCTGTCTGTTATGCTCTAGATCTACTTGTAGAGGCCCCACTGGTCATGTTCTGCCCCCTCCCACCCTTTCTTGCACTACCAAGAGCCAATGAAGCTATATTCTATTTTCTTCCTTCCTTCCACAGCTACATCCACTGCCTCTCTGGTAGCTTTGAACATGAAGATCACAGAGCAGGAGTCCCCATGTCATGCCCATCGGCACCATGGTACTTGCTGACACTTTACTGGGCTCTCACAAATGGGCCACATGGTATTCTAGCCCAGCAAAATTTCTGATTGACCAATGGAGATGTGATTGGCTGCCACCACAGTGCTGGTTTTATTCTCTCATTCCACATTCCCAGTGTATTTTTAGATTATCTCTCTTCCCCCCTGCACTTGGACTTTGTGTGGCTCTGCCTCCCACAGCAGCCATTTTGTGGTTGGCTCTACCTTCCACTGCAGCCATTTTGCAGCTGCACCCACTACCCTGTGTCAGAATTCCAAAAGTGCTCACAGACTCAAAGAAGTTGGGAACCCTGCACTGCATGATACCAGGGTTAGGCATGCCTAGCTCTGCATATATATTTAGGTTGTCTATTTGTATCCTACCATAACACAGTGTTTTAAAAATCTAGTCAAACAATTCAAAATAAAAAATCTAAACCTTTTTTAAAAAAAACATCAAAACTAGCAGCAGACAAAATAGTCCAAATTCCTTGCAGGCAGGTCATGCAACTGTGGTTCTCCATTTCAAGCCCCTTCCTGTCCTCACAGGCTAACTTGGAAGGATTTATTTAATTTATACTCCATTTTTCACACCAATGGGATGCCAAAGCACCTTACATCACTCTCCACTCCTCCATTTTATCTTCCTAACAATCCTGTGAGGTAGGTTAGGGTGGTGGCTCAAGGTTACCCAGCAAGCTTCCATGGCTGAGTAGAGATCTGAATCTGCATCCGCTCAAGGTTACCCAGGAAGCTTCCATGGCTGAGTAGAGATCTCAATCTGCATCTCCTAGACTCTCTAAACACTACAACATATTGGCTCTCAAAGCTAAAAGCAACAGTAGTATGTGCATACAACCCACAAAATTAGAGAACATTGCACTAAACACAGACTGTAAAGCAGGAAGTACAAGACTACAGAACAATGCTGAGAAACATGTAATAAAATTGGATTGCAAAACTGGAGAAAATGCAATAAACACAGCACAATATGTCCAATGAATACTACCTTAAACTATACTACCTTAAACATCAGCTATAGCTGTATTCACAGTATAAACTGCTCTTCTGAACAACTGCATTTTACACACCAGCCTGCAATAGGAGTGTGAGAGGCTTCTTGATATTGTCCGGCAGGCCATTCCACCAGCTGGGAGTCATAACAGAAAGTTCAGGTACATGCAGCTGTGAATCTTACCCATTTGCAAGACGACACCTTCTGAAGGTTTTGCTCATTTGAGCGGCACTGTTGCAATAGAGCATACTGGTACGAGTACTTCTGCAAATATGTGGGTCCAGTACGTGATAAGCAGTCCCTCAAAGCCAATAACTTAATGGGTAACCAATGGACTGAATAGACGTAGTATGCATACTGCATCTAGGTTGTCACAGGAATCGAACTGCGGCATTTTGCACCGTTAAAATTTCCGAGTTATTTAAAGTATAATGAATTAATTGCTGCCTAAGTCAGAACCCACATTCATAAGTCACAGAGGGTTACACCTAATGGTACAAACAAAAAGAGGGTGGGGGAATGACTTGCAAAGAGAAGGTAGAAGGCCCAGTTTCCCTGGAAAAGATGCATCACTTTAGTCGCAGAGCGCAGATGAAAACAAGAGTAAACGATCCACCGAGAGCGTCCGTGGATCACTCCCAACTGTTGCTGACTGGCGAAGTAGAATGAACATGAAGACTGTAGTCAGAAATTCTGTGTTGCGCATTACCTCGCTTGGCCGATGCGCTCGATAATCGAGCGAAGAGGGAGGGAGAGGACGTCAGTCGATCGAAGGTTCGGCGGTCCTGGGGCGGCCTGAAAAGGCTGCTCGGTGCTCTCCGTGCTCGGGTGCTGCCTGTCTAGTCCGGAAGGAATCGTGGCGCGGCCGCCCCCTCAGGCCGCTGCCCCCGATGGTGTGAAGGAGCCCCCCCACCCCCCGGCCTGCTCCGCAGTCTGGCGCCATGAACCTGCTGCCGGCCAACCCGCATGGGAATGGGCTTCTCTTCGCCGGCTTCAACCAGGACCACGGTGAGAGAGACCGTCCGGACTTGGCCGTGGCCCCTTTCCGGTCACCCTTTCCTATGGATGCGTCAGTCTCGACAACCGTAGTGAAAGGGCTTGGCTTTCTCCACGCCCCCCACCCCCGAAACAGTTTTCGTCTGGGGACTTAAATCTGCCATCAATGTAGAGCCACTTCTTTGTAGGAAGAGGCGAAGGTTGGGGGCACGTACTCTGCCTTGCAGGTTGTGAGAGGAAGCCCTATCCCAGCTCTACAAGTTGAAAGGCTGTTGAAAGCTATCCGCAGTGGTCTCCAGCTCAGCCTTTCCTCCTGTTTGCTGCCTTGGCCCCTTAGCGTGTGGTGATAGAGAGACTCTGTTAAAGATACCACTTGGTGGTACTCTCTTTTCTGCCTGCTACTGGTGATGGTTTGGTCCTATTTCTAGTTCTATCCATTGCTGTGTGTTGTACTTGTTCACTCTTGGTGTATCTGCTAATTCTGGGGAGGGCGTTGCTGTTTCCCAAGTGGGCTGCTTCTTTCCTTGGCTCCTAAAATACTTCTATGCTCTTATCACTTTACCTCCCTTACCTCCCTTACCTTTAATAAACTGTGCATGTTGAGATCCTTGGTGTTGGATGTGTTTGCCATACTGGACCTTGCCCTCATTTCCTCTATGGTTAAGCCTGTATCAAACATTCTTTTTAAAAAGGAGGTATCAGAACTGGACCTAGGGCTCAGCTTTCAAAATACAGCCTCAAAGTGATTCCTGCCTTGTCTTCACACTTGCTTAAGACTCCTTAAGGGTTGCATATTCTTGCTGCATTTCTGTGGAATCATTCCATTCTGCAGATTCTTCTACTGTGTACAGTAGAGGCAGTTTTCAAATTGTCCTGGTTTCTTAAATATATGATTTATGCTACTTACTTCAGTGACTTCTATGCCACCTTTGAGCCTGCTCCTCAGCTTGCAAAATAAAACATAAGAACATAAGCACCATGAAAGCTTTAACAGTTAATAAATAATGACCCCCCCCAAAAAAGCATAAAAACAACTTTTGTAAAACAATTCTCATCAAATGCTTCTCAGCAGAAACAGACTGTAAGCATGAGTTAAAAATAACAGCCCCTAATTAAAAGCCTGGTTAACAAGAATTAACCACTTCTGTTTCTGCTGAGAAGCATTTGATGCCTGAAAGATAGGGCAGGCTCCAGATGAGCCTCAGGGGAAGAGCATTCCACAGGTGATGTAACACCACTGAAAAAGCCCTCTGTGTACAAGCTTACTGCATTTGGTCATGGAGCAAAGCAACAGGAATGTACTGTTAGACATTCTACAGCATTGTGGTTGTAATAGGACTAAGTTTGAAATTTACCTCCATTGGTTCCAAATGGCACTTTGCCATTTTGATCTGTTAGGGAAGGTAGCTCAAGACAACCTTACTGGTTATGTAGATGTGCTTGCAAAATGATGAATATCTTTGCAGAAGGAAACCTGGGTTTGCTGCATTGGTTGTTGCTTCTTGTTGAGCATATGTTGTCTTGGCTCCCTGAAGAATACACATCCTTAATTTTTAGCCTTCACTTTTGAAAAAGACACTAGGGAGTTGAGTTCAAATCATTATTCCTCTATGAAGTTTGCTTGGTGACTTTTGTGGGCCAATCAGTCATCATTGACCTAGTCTGCAGCACAAGGTTGTTATAAAGATCAAATGAGTAACCCTTGGTGTAGAGCTGTGAACTGGGAGAAAGAATCGTGAATAAACGTGAAAGAAAAATCTCTTTTTAAAAAGACTTCAATGTCCAGTCCAGTCCACTAAATAGTCATCATCTTTTCTAGAGACCTGCACAGACCTCATGGATACAGAGTAGAGGCACCTGACATAGTAATCTTTTTTTTTATTATTTAGGATGCTTTGCATGTGGGATGGAAAATGGATTTAGAGTGTTTAATGCGGATCCACTCAAGGAGAAGGAGAAGCAAGGTGAGGTGATCCCTCTATAGCCATGATTTATCTACTGTGATTCTTCTTTATTTTTTATTAGGAAAAAGGCCCGTTGTGGAAATAAATACAATTGCCTCTAGAAAGAGGCTCTGGGCAGGTGCCCTGGCCTTGGACACTCAGTGTCAATTTGCTGTGGCGACCTCAGCAGGGTATAATGACACTAAGTCCACCATTTTCTCCAGAGGAACTGATCTCTGCTACCTAAAGAACAGTTGTAATTTTGAGTGATCTCCAGCCCTCACCTGGAGACTGGCAACAATGGTTCCCCAGAAGGGAATGGTTGGTTTGGAGGGTGGAGTCTATGGCTTCATACCTATCCGAGGTCCCACCCCTCCTGAAACCTCACCCTCTCCAGGCTCCATCCCCCACATCTCCAGGAATTTCCCACCTGGAGTTGGCAACCCTATCTCCTTCCCAGCCAATCATCAACCTACCTTTATATCCTCCTCTTCAGCTTTCCACCCCCACACACACACACCTGCAGCCTCTCCCGTGCTCTGAAACCCTGACTGCTACGTCACATTGGCTGTCATACAGGGGCCACCTCAGCAGCATATAAGGATACAGAGCCCACCATTTTCTCCAGGGGAACTGATCTCTGCAGTTGTAATTCTGAGTGATCTCCAGCCCTCAACTGGAGATTGGACACATTTTACCTCAGAACAGCAAACTGTTTAGAATGTTAGAGGCAAAAGCCAATTGTCGCATATGCAAACGACCTCTGTGTTCCAAGGCAAAGGCCAATAAGGCTGCATATGCAAATAACCTCTGTGTTCTGACTGGCTATGGGGGGGGGAACAACAAACAATTTAGAACGTTGGAGGCGAGACTCAAGCAATGCAGCCAGTGGATAGGGACAGATTCTGAGTGACACACCAGGGCGCCAACCAATTCCGGAGCGTGTGGAATGTTCTAGAGAAGTGCCACCACCATTCGGCTTTTATATATAAGAGAGACAATCCATATGTAGGGCATTCATATGCAGATGTATTTGGAGGTAAATCTGTCCTGAGTTAACTGGATCTTACTCTCATTGTGCACAGAATGGCAACTTTAAAGCAATAACTTTTACTTGTTCTGAAGACAAGTACTGGTGGGGGGTGGGGGGGGTTTGAAGTTGTTTGCGATTTCCATTCATTGCCTCTTTTCTGGCCCATATTACTGTGACCATAACATGTATCTTGAGGAAGATCTCTGAGCAAACTTCTCTGATTGTTAGAAAATGATCCTTTATCTTGAAACAAGGCAGGGGAAGCACAAAGTAAAATAGACTTGACCTCAGTTGCATTTGTAACATGAATCCAATCTGAGATTAATTTTGTGAAAACTTGGCAATGAATATTTAACTAAAAATGTCATTTCTTCCCCCCTAGAATTTCTAGAAGGAGGTGTTGGCCATGTTGAAATGTTGTTTCGGTGCAACTATTTAGCTTTGGTTGGTGGAGGAAAAAAGCCCAAATATCCACCTAATAAAGGTATAGTATTGAGTAGTAAGGAGTATAGAAGCATATTATGTGGAAGGCTGTCTGGGTTGCTCTTAATTTGAACAAAAATAAACTTGGCTGCTGCCTTGGTCGCAGATAACATATAGATGGCATTGGCTGCCTTTCACTAGTCATGTCTAGAGATGTGAAGGCCCGGAAAAAAACCGGAAAAATTTGGGAACAAACCGTTTTCCCACCTTTTTTTCCTGAAGCCTTCCCCCCCCCCTGAAAAATTTGAAAAAATTAAAAAAAGAAAAGAAAAAAAATGATTATGGAACGTTTTATTTTAACATGATGAATAAAATATTTTAAGACAAGGTGTTCAAATATTTTCCAAATCATTTCTTATATATATACGGTATCAGATTGATCTAATTTCTGTGCACTGAGGACAAGCAAGTCCTAGGTTACAAACTAAACTCTCCAATGCAAGAACAAGATGCATTTCTTCCTTTAGGAGGTGCTATTGTCAGAAGAAAATAAAAAGGTTTCAGTTTTGTTTTTGCATGTGGGTGGGTATTCTGTTTGTAATAATTGTTTG